GCCCCGGCACCTCTGGGCTTGGCAGTTCCTATCCCCGGCACCTCTGGGCCTGGCAGTTCCTATCCCCGGCACCTCTGGGCCTGGCAGTTCCTATCCCCGGCACCTCTGGGCCTGGCAGTTCCTATCCCCTGCACCTCTGGGCCTGGCAGTTCCTATCCCCTGCACCTCTGGGCCAGGCAGTTCCTATCCCCAGCACCTCCAGGCTTGGCAGCTCAGCGCCCCGGCACCTCTGGGCCTGGCAGCTCAGCGCCCCGGCACCTCCAGGCCTGGGAGCTCAGTGCCCCGGCACCTCTGGGCCTGCTGCATCAGCGATGAAAGTCAAAAAAATTGCCTGAGCTTTCATTACAAATTCAGCACTGCGAATGAGCATAACTCTGGAATCTGCTTCGCTCTCCCAAACCCCACCTGGTGCTCCCCTCTTGCCCCCGCTGAGGTGGCCTGGGACCTGGCTTCTTGAGCTCCTGCCAACTGAGTGACGCTGGCGCAGAAGCGCATCCCTTACTGGAACGATGGAGCCCTCACCTTGGCATTCGTCTCCCTTGATCCAAAATAGTCCGAATCTGTTGACCTTCGGGACACGCTACAAACCCATCTCTTTCCCCAGGCTTGCGGGGAGGGAGGGAGGGCTGAGCGTGAGTGGGCGGCGTGCAAGGTTCCTCCAGGGCTGTGAGGGGGGGATAGCTCCTGAAAAAGTGTCGCAGTGGTTTAGTGGTTAAGCCACTGGGCTAGGCCTCGGGAGATTTAGGTTCTATTCTCAACTCATCTGCAGCCTTCCGGCCGAACTGTCAGAGATGCCGAGTATCCACAGCTTTCATTGGCTTCAATTAGAGCTGTGAGTGCTCGAAACGTCCCCCGTGTGATCTTAGGCACGGCACACTGATCACTCGGTGCCTCGGTTTCCCCTCTAGAACAGCGGGCGGATCAGAATTTCCCACCTCACAGCGGGTGAGGGTGAGAATCGATTCCTTAGTGCTCGGGAGGGGCGCAGGTGCGACGGTACAAAAACCTCTGTGCAAAGAGATAGGGAGCCTCAAGCCCAGCTTGAAACTTGTCACCCACGGCCGCCTTTGAAGGCAGGTCTCCAGAGGTGAAAGACTGATGACCAAACCCTGCGCTCCCAAACTGTTATCCATGGGTCACTCATGACTCGGAGAGCTGGCTGGTCACATGGGGCTGGCTCCACCCCCTCTTTTCCGCCATAGGAATACAGGGAAGAAGCAATCTTGCCTCGTCTGTGTCCTGTTGGTCTCAGTGTTTGGTCATGCTGTGTGTGTGGGGGGAGCGGGGGGGCTGTGCTCATAGAGGAGATTCTACCTGTGGAGTTTCCTGTGAGTTCTCCCAAAGGGAGGGAGTTTGATCACAGCTGGAAGAAGCAGGGGGGCTAGATCCCCAAAACACACAGATCCTCCAAGATCGGCGCTGATTTGCCCCCAGATCTGCGGAGTGCCAGTGCCTCTGGATTGGGTCCCTGTGTTTTCCTGCCAGCATGGCTCTGGGAGGCATCATTCCTCTTCTCTGCCAGTTGCTGCTGGAGGGTGACTTCTTGATCTCTGTGTTACCCATGTGAGGTGCCACACTCCCAACAGCTCTGGCTCCTCCCGCTCCAGCCGGCACCTAGCTGAGCCCCCATCTTCCAAGCCACCCACTCCTAGACCCACTGGATCCTCCCATCCACCACCTATGTCGCTTTCAATGGAGGTCTGGATCCTCCCCGGCACTGCAGTCAAGGCCGAGTCACACCAGCTGAGGATCTGGCCCTGGGCCTGTAATTGGTTTCCCTGTGCAGCATGATGGCAGAAAATTAGGGCCTCGCTGTGATCGACGTCGCCTTCCTCTCACCTCCTTGCAGATTAACTTGGGGCCTAATTTCTAGCCGGGAATGCCAGCGTCGCAGCAACCCGAGTCAAAACAGCTTTGCATTTAATGTGAACATTAAAAAAGAAAGAGCGAGAGAGAAAGAAAAAGAAAATGTAAGTCGCTAAAAATATTCCCGCAGTTGTTTTACACAGCTGAATGAAGATAATTGTATTGGCAATTGTGAGTGATTACTGTATTATCTGCAGTCAGAGAAAGTTATTTTTTGAACGCTAAGGGAATTAATGATACATAAAACTATGTTCATAGTGACTGCATTCATCAGCAGAAACGCTTTGCAGAACACTGCCGCACTGTGATTACTCCAACCGGCTTGGAAAGAGAGGGGGGGAGAGATAGGTGGATTCTGGATATTGCCAAAGATTTACATACATTTACATTCGGAAAGGCTGATCGCCGCCCGAGCTGATTACGTGGGAGCAGAGTCTAACTGATCTCCTGGCTCGAAAGCCTCAGTTTGGTCACTTCCCTTTTATTGGTGGCGCCTGCATATATATTAAAGCAAGGGGTGTGTGTGTGTGTGTGTGAAATTCAGTTTAAATGATCTTGGGTAATAAAACCTTTCAAGATGCAGCCGGTAGTTTTGTACAGCCTGAAATGCTCTTCATAATCACAGGCAAACAGTCAAATCTTTAAGGGAGACAAGGTGCGGAGGTAATATCTTTTATGGGACCAACTTGTGTTGGTGAAAGAGAAGAGGTTCTGAGCTACGTGGGGGCCTGGGAAAGGTCTCTCCTCCTGGGACCAACCCGGCTACAATAACATCGCAAACCACACATCTTTAAGGGGCGCTCTGTATTTGCCAACTTTCCGTACATTGAAGTGACTGATTCTGAAATAATTGAGTAACCTGTGAGTTGATTCGTAGGGACCCAATCAAGAGCCCACCGGAGTGGTCTTGGATCCACCTGTGGACTTTATAGCTACCCCGGTTCTTTGTAGTATTCTGCTGGCCCTTCGGAGAAGAACAGGGGCTAGTCAATAAAGGGAGCGTAGAGATGGCTGCCAGACGGAGCAGCCCTCGGCGGAAAGTCTGAGATTGCCTGACTCTTCGGGTATGTCTATACTACCCACTGGATCGGAGGGCAGCGATCGATCCAGCGGGGGTCGATTTATCGCATCTAGACTAGATGCGATAAATCGACCCTCGAGCGCTCTCCCGTCGACTCCTGTATCCAGCTCGGTGAGAGGCGCAGGCGGAGTCGACGTGGGAGCGGCAGCAGTTGACTCACCGCGGTGAAGACACCACGGTAATTCGATCTAAGTACGTTGACTTCAGCTACGTGAATACGTAGCTGAAGTTGCGTAACTTAGAGCGATCCCCCCCAGTGTAGACCAGGCCTTAGACACAGTGGAGGTGTCTGGGAACCCTTGCAATCAGCCTGAATTTAAGGAGTCTGTAAGTCAACTGTGTACAAATGACTAGATAAATGGTCAGTTCTGTGACAGTGAAACCTGCCTAAAACAGCCACTCACAGGACTGACACCAGCTGGATGATCACTGGAGTAATCAGGGCATGGGGGATCCTTTGAGGGGGTCTCGTAACATGGGAGGTTGATTAATTCAGGCTGTTGCCTTGATCCTGCCCCAATAAGGGGAGTTAATACACAAAGAGATGAGCTGCTGCCGTAAGTGATTTTCAGTGGGAGAGACTGGGTCCAATTATCTGCTGTGCTTCCAAGGTGCCCAGCATTGGGGCAGGTGGTTTTACATCACCTCTGGATTGTGGGCTGCTCCAGGCTCCCAAGCTGCCCCCAGTGTACATGAGAGCCATCTCAGCTGGCTCTGAGATACAACAGCCCATCCTACATTGAAGCCCAGTGACGCCATATGCGACGGGCCCACCCCCTCCTGCCCCCAGCCCGCCAGGGGTTGGCTGATGGCACCTGGGCCTGAGCCCTGGCAAGTTGCAGAGCATGCAGAACGGAATAATGGTCCAGTGGTTAGAGCGCAGGCCTTCGGGGAGCTGGGGTCAGATCTCTGCTCTGACACAGACGGCCTGTGTGCCCATTGACAAGTCACTTAGGCTATGTCTCCGCTGCAGCTCTGGGTGTGGCTTGCAGCTTGCGTGAATGTACCCGTGTGAGCTAGTTTGCTCCACATAGACGCTTGCAAGTCCCCGTAGTTTTTCTCTGCCTCAGTTTCCCATCTGTACAATAGGGACAACCGCACATCCCTACCTCACAGAGATGTTGTGAAAATAAAGATTGTGAGATGCTTGGGGGCCAGGGACATTATTTGCTGTGGGAGGCGGCTGCCCCACACAGGTAGATGGAGGGTTAAAGCAGCCTTGAGGGAGCCTGCACAAAACCCAACCAATGGGAGGAGGGCTTGTAGAGAGCCAATCAGGGGGTGGCTTGTTGAAGCAGCCAATCAGGGCCAGGGAGGGCCGTATAAGAAGGGCTTCTCACTATAGCAGGGGTAGTCACTCCCTGAAGGGTGAAGGAGGAGGACACTAGCTACAGCAGTGCTGGGCAGGGTCAGCAGAGGAGGAGAAAGCTCCAGGCTGCCGTAATGAGGCCCTGATACAAGGGCGGAGACGGTGCTGGGGCTGCGGGGAAGTGACCCAGGGAAGGAGACGGCAGAGTTGGAGGAGGGGCGGTATGTGGCTGCTGGCTATTCGGTCCCTGGGTCAGGACCTGGAGTAGTGGGCGGGCCTGGGTACCCCCCGTTTGCCCCCACTGGCCACTGAGGGGAGTGGCCAGTGCATGGACTGCGGTCTGCCCCTGAGACGAGCGGCTAGAACCTGGGCTGCAGATTGCCACTGAGGACTGTCGGTCCCCCGGAAGGGGGGAAAGAACCGAGTGAGGCACAGCTGGAGGGCTGTGTCCAGAAGAGGACGACATGGTCCAGGGAGCGATGCGGGTCCTGGAAGTGGAGACAGAAGTGACGACGGGTGAGACGCCACCTGAGGAGGGCGCGCTGGCGACCTTGAGCTAATTCCCAGAACGGCCAGCAGGAGGCGCTGTGGTGGCAAGTGACGTGCCCCGTTACACCCCCACAGACCTTGGTTTGCCCCCTCCAACTTTACATAGGTCTATATGCTCCATTCCCCCTCCCCCCGGTGTTGCAGGATATTATATGATCACATAATGTTCTATATGCTGACACAAATTTGCTCCCCCTCCCTGAATTTTTCTGAAATGACACCCCCCCTAATGGGAGCCATATAAATCCCCTAGATATATTTAATGGACCCTAAATGCTAGAACAAGGGACAGAATCTGTCCTACTGTTGGATGGTTTTATGCCCAGAATTTAGGTATTTTTAGTAATAATAATGAATCATAAATACTCTTAATTTAATAGATATTTTAAAATATCAGTGAGCCCCAGGTTTGCTTGGCTTCACCACGCCGCCACTGCCCTACAAACATTGCACCTCGTGCTAGGCCTGAGAACCAGCCAGTGAAGCCGACGGGACCCAAAAGAGAATTGCGGGCTTCTATTTTCAATATCCAGGAGGGAGGACTTAACAAAAACTAAATGCAGGGTACTTAGATCTTAAAAGCATGTCCAGCCTCAATCACCTAAGGGGTTACAATCAGATAAGAACATTTGCTTTTAAAATATATATATATATATATATATATACTCTGATTCTTAACTTGTCTTATCGTTTTATTTTGTGTCACATATAGTTCGAGAGACAGATGCTGCTGGGCAATGCGGCCTTTCAAATTTAAACCACTAGAGGGCGAGATTGAACTTCCATCCTGCCATTTGATGTGGGTCACCCAAACAAACTGGGGGATTTTTGCTAAGAACCTGGTGCTGAAAGCTGACCCTCTACACACACTAGGGTGAGCAGACAGCAAATGTGAAAAGTCGGGACAGGGGGTGGGGGGTCATAGGAACCTATATAAGAAAAAGACCCAAAAATCGGGACTGTCCCTATAAAATCGGGACATCTGGTCACCCTAACACACAAACACCCCCCCATTGACTCCTGAGCCGCTGGCTGCTGAGGGCTCTAGTCATGCTCCCAGAGTATTTTTAATAACGGAAGGGGACTTAAATCCAGTCACTAGAATTAAAGGGACATGGTCAGCTAACTTAGAATCAAAACATAG